CAAGTTCCATTACCAGCACTTTGTATGTTGACTGATAGGGGACCATTCCCTTAAGCACCATTTCCTTTAAGTATGAGCAAGCCAGCTCAGGTTTCCAACTCTTACAAAAGCCACTCACCAGAAGGGCATATATTCCAAGATCAATACTTAGGTCATTCTTAAACATGTGGTTTAACAGAGTTCAGCACCTTCATCCTATTCTTCCTGAAGCACAAGTGAAGCAATGGCGAGTTCTGGCTTACATGAATCCTATTCCACTTTCTGAAGCCATTTCAATGACTCCTCTTCTCTCGAATGTGCACAAGCAGAAGAAATCATGGCATTATATGCCCATAACTTTGGCTTTATATTTTGCCTTTCCATGTCCTCAAATATTTGACGTGCATCATTAAGTCTATCTGCCCTGCTCAGAATGGAAATCAATAAACTATAAAATGAATTGTCCGGTAAACAACCATCACTCTTAATCTTCTCATAAACCTCCAATGCTTGAGTAATCTCCCCTTACTCACATTGAGCTATCATAACGAGGGTGTTAAGTCACTATATTTGGCTTGCAACCCTTCTCTTGCATTTCATCCAATACAGCATCAAGATATCGAAACAAATTGAAGTCAGAGGTATAAGTTCCTTGAACTCAATAAACACTTGATAAGCATGATCAACACTGTCCAAGGCATTCCCCTTAACCAAAGCAGCCATTAACACAGCAATTGCCTCTCCATCTCGGCTAACACCAAATTTCTCTCTCTCTCTAAAAGCTGCAATAGCATCACTGTACCTCGTAGCTTTAACTAACCTCCTCATAACCTTTCTCATGGTAGCCAATGTAACTGTTTCCCCAAAAATCCTTAGCCGACCTTTACCACGTGAGTTTGGTTATTAAGCGTGCCACTTGCTTTGTCTAAAAACAAGAAAATAGGATTTTCCAGACGACCCTTCTCCTTTCCAACGGTCGACCTCCAATAGGATGGCTGGAAAGAACGTCTGTGAAATCAATTGCGGCCCAGACGATGTTGCAAAACAGAGGGTAGAGTTCTGCAAAAAGGGTTACTAATTGCCTTGGAGACCTCTAAGGACTTCACAACCAAACAAGTGTAATAAAAGCTACAAATCCTAAAATAAATGCAATATCCTAAGGTAATTAAACTAACATGAAGTAAATAACAGAAAATAACATGCCATAAAGATTAAATTCGCAGACAACAGAAAAAGTAAAATAACAGACAATGATTTCAAGTACGCAGCCCATAATGATAACTAAAACTGAAGAAGAAACTATGAAATGAATAAAGTCTGGAAACTTATAAATTTAAATATGGAAATTGAAATTAAACAAACTGCATGTCTGGATATTGTGCAGAAACAAAAGAACAAAGGTAGAAAATGTTCATCCTATTCACATGAACGAATAACATAACTAAATCCATAAAAGGAAGAAGAACTAATCAAATCAAAAGTGCAGACATGTTTTGAGGGCTAAGTTGCTTCCAAATATTTAAAAACTAATCTAAATTGGAATTTGCAGAAGAAAATATGAACAAAGATGAACAAACCTAGGCTAAGGCTATGAACTATTCTGGAAAATCTGGAAAATGCAGTCTAAAAGTTGAAAAACATGCTCTGGGCAGTGTCTGTGTGTTGGGCAAGCCTCGAAACTGTTCTCTTCTCTTTGTATTTATTTTCTTCGGTGCTGGTAACTTCCTTCATGATCTTCGGTACTGTTCCTCCATGATCTAGTAGTGGGGTTGCAGGTCTGGCAGTTGTTTAATAGTTATCCGATTTTTATTTAACTTTATCTCCAACAACCTTAAAGATAACTACCTAAAAATCCTCAATTTCCCATTTTAAATCAAACTCAAACTACTAGATCCAATCTTATCTTCTGCCACCTAAGATCCAACCTCCTTGAAAATCCGTCTGAACCGTTAAATTGTAAGCCAGCCTAGCCCAAATCCAGCCTATTGATTTTCTTGATAATTAGGCTTTACCTTGACACGTGGCCTTATCCTATTGGTTTATTTTAGGTGTAAACAATGCCCCCCAACACTTGGTTTTATGGGAATAAATCCAAGTGTTTAAATTTTAAATTACCTTTCAGACTCCAAAGGCCACGTGCAAAATCTGCTAAATCCCAAGATGATTGTAGCAGGTATTCCCAACTTTTTCACAGCTGACTCTGTCTGAGCGCATCCAGCCATCCACAGCCAGTCATGGCCGCTCGATCAAACTTGCTCTCATTTTGGAATAAACACATGAAAGCAAATCAACTTATTTATGCACAGACAGAAGTATGAACCTGGCTCAGACAGCTTCTTGGGACTCTAAGCGTCTTGCCTCCCAGACTGTGGGGTAATAAGGCTTGAGATAAATTCCATTGATTTTTCTAGGATGAAGCTCTCCATCAAGTGACTCCAACCAATAAGCAGCCCCTTTCAACACTTCATGAATTTGAAATGGTCATTCCCAATTTGGGGACCATTTCCCAAATCTGTGATCTTTCTTGCCAAGAGGTAAAATTGCTTTCTAGATCCAGTCACCAACTGCCAGATTTTTACCTTTTACCCTTTTGTTGTAAGACTTTGCAATTTTGAGTTTTTGAGCTTGCAATCTATCCAAAGTTGCCAAACGTGTGTCTTCAAAGTCCTCAAGCTCAAGTATCATAGCCTCGTCATATTCCCCAGACTGGAGATTATGTTGAATCGCTATTCTTAAAGACTTGGCTGTTAACTCCATTGGCAAGACTACATCATGGCCATATGTCAAGGCAAAAAGTGTCATTTTGGTTGAACTTCTTTGTGGAGTTCTATAAGCCCACAGTGTTTCAGACAACAGTTCATGCCAGCGTCTGGGGTTGTCATCCACCATTTTTTCAAGCAAATTAATCACCACCTTATTAGAAGCCTTCGCTTGCCCATTAGCTTGTGCATAATGAGGAGTAGAATTTAACAGACGGAAACCCATTTCCTTTGCAAATGCCTCCACTTGATGGCTGACAAAAACTGTGCCTTGGTCTGTTGTAATTGTTTATGGCAGACCAAATCTCTGAATAATGTCCTCTTTGATGAACTTGATTACATCAGATTGATCTACCTTCTCCATTGATTTAACCTCCACCTATTTGGTAAAATAATCCGTTACCACTATAATAAATGAATGACCTTTTGATGAAGGGGGGTACACCTTACCAATCAAGTCAATAGCCCAACCTCGAAATGGCCACGGTTTCACAATAGAATTCAATTCAAAGGCTGGAACTCTTTGAAGTGGCCCATGGATTTGACAAGATTTGCAGCCCTTAGCATAAGCAATACAGTTTTTCAGGACAGATGGCCAGAAGAAACCATGTCTGCGAATTAGCCAGCACATCTTGATCCCAGCCTGATGTGCACCACAAATCCCATCATGGACATTAGACAGCATTTGGAAACTTTGATCTGGACCCAGACAACGTAGCAGTGGTTCATCATGGCCTCTCATATAAAGCACATCCTCAATCAAAACATAATTGAGAGCTTGCATTTTGGTTTTCCTAGATACCTTAGTGCTTTGATCCTTAAGGTACTGAATATTTGGAAAGTGCCAATCTATCTGGGTGACATCAATGCTACAAGTAGAAACTGGTATGCCACGTTGATGAATTGACGGCAGACTGTGCTTTTCAACTATTACAACTTTCTGCATTACACCTTCAGGAATTCGCAAACCTGAAGCAATCTCGGCCATTTCATTAGCTTCATAGTTCTAGTCTCTAGGCACATGTCTGATGGACACATTGTCAAACTCATCCGGTAAATTGCACAGCCAAGGCAAAATAAGGGGCTAAAGCAAGGCTACTACATTGGTACTCACCAGACAATTGCTTCAAGGCTAGTTGTGAGTCCCCTATAACCTCAACCATGAATACTTTAAACTCTACTAACATCTCAAGACCAATAATCAAAGTTTCATATTCTGCTTGATTATTTGTGCAATCAAAATCCAGCTGGAAAGACATCTGTGTTTTTAGCCCAGATGGGGAGATTATCACGACTCCAGCTCCAGACATGGTTTCTGTACTAGATCCATCAAAAATAAGTTTCCAGGGAACTAAACTTATTGAAAACAAGTTAATCCCTTTTTCTTTATCTGCTTCCACGTCCAGACATGGATGATCTGCAAGAAAGTCTGCCAGTGCCTGCCCTTTAACAGCCTTCTGTGGTATATACTTCAAATTAAATTCAGATAAGGCCAGAATCCATTTACCTATTCGGCCTCTTAACAAAGGGCAAGACAACATATATTTGACAATATCAGTCTTAGCAACCACATAGACCTCGGAATAAATCAAATAATGTCTCAATTTTATTGCAGCAAAAAAGAGAGCAAGACATAACTTTTCGACCGAAGAATATTTCACTTCGGTCTAGGTCAAACATTGACTCAAGTAATACACAGCCTACTCTTGTTTTTTATCATTTTCTTACGCCAGCAGACACCTTATGGACTCGTCTGCGGTGGATATATACAAAATTAAAGGTTTATTTTTCACAGGCGGTATAAGTACTGGTGGTCTGGATAAGTACCATTTTATCATATCAAAGGCAAACTGGTGGTGTTCTTCCCACTTAAAATCCGCCTCAAACTTGAGTTTCAACAGAGGAGAAAAGACTCTGGTTTTCCTAGCCAAGTTAGAAATGAAACGTCTTAAGAAATTAACTTGGCCAAGAAATCTCTGCAACTCCTTCTTGTTCTGTGGTGGTTTTGCTTCAATCACAGCCCTGGCTTTGTTCTTGTCAACCTCCAGACCACGCTCATGCACCAAGTACCCAAGGAAGTTACCCGCAGACACTCCAAAGGCACACTTTAGTGGGTTCATTTTCAAGCCATGTTGCCTCATACGCTCAAAAGCCTTCCTCAATTGGACCAGGTGGTCTGCTTCCCCATGTGACTTGACCACAACATCATCAATATAGATTTCCATGAACGTACCAATCATATCATGAAAAATTGCATTCATGGCTCTTTGATAGGTAGCTTCAGCATTTTTCAGACCAAATGGCATCACAACCCATTCAAAAGTTCCAACAGCACCTGGACATCGAAAGGCTGTTTTTGGAACGTCTACATCTGCAATAACAATTTGGTTGTACCCACTATGACCATCCATGAAAGATAGAATTTTGTGACAGGCTACTCCATCAACCAACAAGTCTGCAATTGGCATAGGATACTCATCCTTTGGTGTAGCTAAATTCAAGTTTCGAAATCAACACAGACTCTTAATTTTCCATTCTTTTTCAACACAGGCACTACATTTGACAACCATTCTGCATACCTGCATGTCCGAATGAATCCAGCTTTTACCAGCCGCTCAATTTCTTCTTTCACCTTCAAAGTGACCTCCGCAGACATGCGTCTGGGCGGCTGTTTATACGGTCTGAATCCTTTTACAATTGGCAGTTTATGTTCCACCAATTTTCGATCCAGACCTGGCATTTCTGAGTAATCCCTAGCAAAACAGTCTTTAAATTCATGCAAAAGTCTAACAATTTGATCTTGTGTCTGCGGCTCAAGAGAGTCGCTAAAAAATGTCACCTTTTGCTCACTTTCATACCCTAGATTGATTTCCTCTAGTGGGTCTTGAACTTCAGTTTTTAAATCATCCAACTTGGCTGGGGCAAGATCCAGCTCCTCCAAAGTTATTTCATCACCCTGGTCTGCCTCCTCGCCTTCATGAACAATTTTAGACTTGTCTACCTGAACTGCTTTTCAGCAAAATAGGTCGCTAATTTCTTTGTTAACTCCAACACAGCCTTTTCTCTTTCTTGTCTCAGACGTGCTTGCTTCATTAGATTTCTTCAAGTTTTAATTTTCCCTTCGGCCTATAAGGAATTATTGTTGTTGGCCGAAGAAGTTCATCACAGACTTCCTCTACAACACGCTTAGACAATGACGGTCTGCTGCATGCTGTTATCCCAATCGGCTTCTCATGTTTATCCATCCCAAAAAACCGAATGGTACCAATGTCTTCTTCATAATATCTAGCCTCCACCAGGTGAGTATTGGCTGAAAAGGGCTTATCATTTGCAGACACGACCTCAGCCTTGCCATTATTCTAGAAAATCAGTTTCTGGTGAAGTGAAGAAGGGACACACCAACTTGAATGAATCCCGTCACACCCCAAAAGTGCATTATAAGTAGCAACAATATCCACCACAAAAAACGCAGACATCAGTGTCCTATTTCCCATTGTTAATTCAACAGGCAGCACACCCCTTGAATGATTCACTCCTCTTGTAAAATCACTAATTGTAACCTCAGTATGCACTAAATTATCAAGAGACTTGCTTATTTTGTAGAGCATGCAAGTTGGAAGGACATTGACTGCAGCTCCATTATCCACCAAGACACGGCTGATTGGAGTCCCATCTATGTGAGCATTGATATAAAGTGGCCTAATGTGTCTGGCCATCTTTTCTTCTGGTTTTTCAAACACTATTTTGTCATCCATGTCCTCCTCTTCATCATCCTGAGCTGGAACAACGATTGCCTCTTCTTCTGTCTGTTTTGGGAACTCACAGACAATTGGTTCCTCCTCCTTCTTGGCTTGGAAAACCAAGGGTAATGTCAGCACCAGACATGACAAATTCACTGAGAATTTCCCAAAATGAATAGTGCCATCTTCTTTTGATTCAGCTCCATGATTCTCAGACTGTTCTTGTGTTTCAAAAGTTGCTTTCAAAACTCCATCTTGACTCACAATGACAGATGCCACCTTTGGAGAAGCTGGAGATTGGTCATCCTCCTTCAGTAGAGTCTGGGTTACAGTCTCATTTTTCTCTTTTCTCACCCACACAATGTTCCTTTTGGTAGGTTGGCGTGGTCTGCGAGATGAACTTCCCTCAGCCTCCACTTGCTTCGATTGCTTTTTTCGCTCTTCAGCTCTCTTGCATTGTAGTTTGCGCCTCAAGGTTCTGGGATTCTGGGCTAGAAACTTGGGATGACTAACTTTCTCCCACCGTCTAGAAAGTGACCTGAGTGGCGATTTGACCATCTTTGGAGATCTAGTACCAGTTGAGTAACGTCTGGCACCTTCTGGGCTGAAGTTCCTGGTCACAATGATCCTTCCTTGGCCCCCGAGCCTTTGTTGGTTTGACCTGACACTCCTACTATGTCTGGATCTCTGTGCCTTAAGAACCCACCTCAAGTCTTCGGCAGCAAGGTTCCTTTGAGCATAAGACAGACTACGATTTCTGGCAACACTCTTGAGGTCTGCAACATTCACACCGATAGACACAGCTGGGAAAGGATCTGCATCCACTCCCATGGTTTCCTTCGCTTTGTCTGGAAATCTCAACATGTCCTTATCAATATTTTCCAATGGCCTCAAGGCTGGCCCATGGTCTTTATTGAAAAATTGAGCTGGTTGATTCTACAAACCACGCTGTACTGGTTGGGTTGGTGGAACTTGTGGCTGAAAAAAGTCCCTTGAATGGGGTTGATGATGAGGACACACATTTTCCCTCCTGCCTGGTGGAAGATATCTGTGCTGAGGTTGGTGGCCATGGTCTGCAACAGGAACAACAGCTTCCATTGGTTCATGTTGTCTTTGCCCTTCACCCATGAAGAAATTCTGCTGTTGAATGTTAGGATGAGGCTGATTCCCTTGCCCCCTGAGTGCTGGGATTGGGGCTTCTTGAATCTGCCTGGGCATTTCAACAACTGGAAGAGGGATCTCAGGTCTGAGCTGTCGCACTTGCTCAACCACTTGTTCTGAAACAGCCTGCAGTTTTCTGCGACTTTCTTCCCCAGTTTCTCGCACCACCCTAGTGCCTTCTTCAAAGACCCGTCTCATGTATACATTGTCTAATTATCTCTTCCTAACATCTGGAGGATTCTGCTTGACTTTCAACAAGTCTCCGCATAGCTTGGTTCTGTTATTTGAATGCTAAATCCAGACGTTCAATCATACCGCTAAACACATTACTTGATTCAGCAAAGTCACCCCCACGGTCTGCTTCGTTCTCCTTAAATACTGGATTCCCATAGGACCGTTCTGCCAGAGGTGACACTGAGAGAAAAGTAATGGGATCATTTTCACCCTCAGAATGGCGTGAACTGTCATCTGCATGTTCAGCCTGGGCTGGCTGAACCTCTTTGTCTCTGCTCTTTCTCGGTGGCATGGCTCTAAATGCCTCTGAATGTATGAATAGAGGATTTGTGAACTGTAACTGATACATCCTGCTGGTTGTCCCACCAGGTGTGCCAACAAAGGATTGTTTCCCCAAAAATCCTTAGCCGGCCTTTACCACGTGAGTTTGGTTATTAGGCGTGCCACTTGCTTTGTCTAAAAATAAGAAAATAGGATTTTCCAGGTGACCGAAAAAGTAAAATAACAGACAATGATTTTAACTATGCAGCCTATAATGATAACTAAAACTGAAGAAGAAACTATGAAATGATTAAAGTTTGAAAACTTATAAATTTAAATCTGGAAATTGAAATTAAACAAACTGCATGTCTGGATATTATGCAGAAACAAAAGAACAAAGGTAGAAAATGTTCATCCTATTCACATGAATGAATAACATAACTAAATCCATAAAAGGAAGAAGAACTAACCGAATCAAAAGGACAGACCTGTTTTGAGGGCTAAGTTGCTTCCAAATATTTAAAAACTAATCTACATTGGAATTTGCAGAAGAAAATATGAACAAAGATGAAAAAACCTAGGCTAAGGCTATGAACTATTCTGGAAAATCTGGAAAATCTAGAAACTATTGCTGAAATCTGAAAAATGCAATCTGAAAGTTGAAAAACATGCTTTGGGCAGTGTTTGTGTGTTGGGCAGGCCTCGAAACTGTTCTCTTCTCTCTGTATTTATTTTCTTCAGTACTGGTAACTTCCTCCATGATCTTCGGTATTGTTCCTCCATGATCTTCGGTATTGTTCCTCCATGATCTTCGATACTGTTCCTCCATGATCTAGTAGTGGGGTTGCAGGTCTGGCAGTTGTTTAATAGTTATCCGATTTTTATTTAACTTTATCTCCAACAACCTTAAAGATAACTACCTAAAAATCCTCAATTTCCCATTTTAAATCAAACTCAAACTACCAGATCCAATCTTATCTTCTACCACCTAAGATCCAACCTCCTTAGAAATCCGTCTGGGCCATTAAATTGTAAGCCAGCCCAGCCCAGCCCAGCCCAAATCCAGCGTATTGATTTTCTTGATAATTGGGCTTTACCTTGACACGTGACCTTACCTTATTGGTTTATTTTAGGTGTAAATAGTAACATACCCCTTAAACTGCTGCATTTCCTTAACTAAATCCCACATCAAATCAAACTTCTTTGCCTTTCCTAACATATCAACCATGGTGTTAAACACCTCAGGAGGATGCTCATAACCTGTTTGTGATTTTGCCCAGGTGAATACCCCAAAAGCTGGAATCCAGTTATTATCAAATCTCTTCAAAAGCTTCTCTATTAAGCTGTTTGACACACTTTTTTACCTCACACCCATTTAGTGCTTCAACAACTTTATCATACGATGAGTACTCTTTCCTGAGGATTTCACAAACTTGATCCAAATCAGAATCATGTTCACCATTTGGTAAGGCGATGATTCAGGAATGATCCATAGAGGGTTGGAGGAGATGTAACACCTTGCATCGTTGCTTGCAGATCTTTGAGGTCGGAAAGTGGAGATGAGCTTCAAGATTCAGTGATTTCGTGTCATTTTTAACCCAAAGCCAGATGAAGATACGAAAAATTAAGGATTTGATGAATCAAAAGACACCGTTACACGGAAACAAAATGCAGGACAAATCTAGCCCAACCCAACGGAAGAAATGGTTGGGACACGTTGTGCTAGTGCTAAACCAAGCTCAGCCCAAAGAAAAATTTCCTGGCAAATGGCATAGGCCCAACCCAAAGAAATGGTTGACTCGTCCCCCCTTTGTTCGTTTCGTTGCCCATTTTATTTTCTACTCAAGGTTTTGTTTCGGGATCTTTAATTAATAATAATATTTTTTTAATTTAAATTAATAATTATATTTTTAATTTAAATTAATAATTATATTTTTA